CGCATACTGAAAGCATAAATTTGGCCGAGTGCGGGATGAAAAGTTTATGCCGCTTTGTGTGTGCTACTCAATCGTCGTCATTGCACGCTGTCGTCACGGTGCGTTGTGGTGCGGTGCCGTTAGACGAGGGAAGGGTGCGATGCTACGGCTGCCGCGCAGCACAACCATTTATTGTCTCTGCACCGGCATTTTTTTTTTTTTTTTGCGCTCGCACAATTTTCCTTTTGCTTCACGATGGATTTGTTGGAGGAGGTTTGGTTTTGGTGCCTGCTTCACGGCGCCTCGCCTTGTGTGTCGGTTGCGGTACTTTCACGTGGTGCTAAAGCGTTTGATGAGGTGTTTACCCTTTTTTTTGCGCCCTACAGCCAGCCTTGTTTGGTAATGGCGGCAGCAGTGAGGCTCTGCGACTGCGTGCTCGTCGCACGTGTCGCATCTCCCGCTGTTGCTCCTTTGCTGTGTTGGTGGGGGAGGAGACGAGCGACTGCGTCGGTGGAGTTGCGCCCCGGTGGGAGAGGGAAGGCACCGACCGCTGCTGACGGCGACGGTCTTTGCTGCAGGTGATCTGACGAGATGATGTCACTGGTGCCACAGTTAGCCAAGATGGATGAGGGCCGCACCTTCTCTCTCTCCCCTTCCCTCCGTTCCCCAGTCTCCTGCAGACTAACGAACTGCAGGGCAGTGGCGTGATTACAAACCGGACGTCTATGAGCAAACAGAACGCACAATTGATTTGGGCTCTTGTGCCCCGTGTCTGAGTGCCGTCACCGTACTTCTTCATCCGTCCTTCTTGTGTGTGCCGTGTGCTCTTATGGTGCCGCTGTTTGTTTTGCAATGCCGACCCACGTGGGGGAGGAACGAAGCCTTGACTACTGGCAAACGGCGATTCCTCCGCTCCTCTTCCGTGTCACCATTTCATCCTTTGACACGCTCGATGGCTGCCGGTTGTAACACTGCCACGTGGGTGTGTCCCGGCCCTTGTGTTTCGTCCACGGCATCAGGACTACTCTGTGGTAGAAGCATTTGGTTGCAGGAGCGGTGCCAATGGTCATGTGTCTTTTTGCTGGGATCCTGCCACTCTGCATGCTGGTTGTGTGGGACTGCGTGGGTGGTGGGAGGGCGGTGACATCACTGGGCTGACTGCGTCTGTGCTTCTTTTTGTCGGTGGTTGTGCTTTGTTTGAGACTGTCCGTGACCGGATGCCTCTGCGTGCCACTGTGCTTAGTTACTGTTGTTTCTGTCTTCTTCTCCTCTGACCGAGCAGATAGAGTTAGTTTGGATTGACCCGCACAACTATCGTTTCAAGGTGTTAGGAATTGCTTGCATTATTAGGATTAGCAGTAGTGTGATAGCGATCTATCGGAATAGTGTTTCTGGTTTTTCCATCTGTGTAGGAAGGGATTTGCGGGGCAGGAGTTACGGTCGACGGGGCGAGTGCGACACACCACGACAGCCCCTTTATTATCTGTTTGGGTCGGTGGATGTGGTCTTCTGTGGGTGCGCGTCCGCGCGGCCGGCACTGTGTGCGGCGCAGGGCCATTGCAGCTGT